GGGAGGGGATCCTGTGCCATGGAGCCCTTCCAGGAGTGCTCCTGGCCTGGGCTCCCATCCAGGCAGGTGGGATCAGAGCCCCTGTCCCACTGCTGGATCTGGGTCTGGATCTGGATCAGGATCAGGGTCTGGATCTGGGTCTGGGTCTGGATCAGGATGAATTCCACTCTGCCGAGCTCTGCCGAGGTTGGATAAGGAATATTTAACAATATTTAACGTTCAGTCCCTCTCCTGAAGCTGCAGGGTGAGGAGTTTGGCCAGCTCTGCCTCGGAAAGCCGAGTTTTTGGTGTTCCAATCCTTCAGGAGAGTTCTTTTGGGATATCTCCTGGAGGGTTTCCTTTCCATGGAACACACAGGAAGGGTTCTGCCTGGACAGGTCCTGCTGGCTCTGGGGCGTGTTTGGGGTAAATCAGAGCAGAAAAGCTTTGGGAGGGGATCCTGTGCCATGGAGCCCTTCCAGGAGTGCTCCTGGCCTGGGCTCCCATCCAGGCAGGTGGGATTGGAGCCCCTGTCCCACTGCTGGATCTGGGTCTGGATCAGGATCTGGGTCTGGATCAGGATCAGGGTCTGGATCTGGGTCTGGATCTGGATCAGGATCAGGATGAATCCCGCTGTGCCGAGCTCTGCCGAGGTTGGATAAGGAATATTTAACAATATTTAACGTTCAGTCCCTCTCCTGAAGCTGCAGGGTGAGGAGTTTGGCCAGCTCTGCCTTGGAAAGCCGAGTTTTTGGTGTCCCAATCCTTCAGGAGAGTTCTTTTGGGATATTTCCTGGCGGGTTTCCTTTCCCTGGAACACACACGAGTCCAGCTTGGAGCAGTGGGAAGCTCCGAGGCTCTGCCTGGACAGGTCCCACCTGCTCTGGGGTGTTTGGGGTAAATCAGAGCAGAAAAGCTTTGGGAGGGGATCCCTGTGCCATGGAGCCCTTCCAGGAGTGCTCCTGGCCTGGGCTCCCATCCAGGCAGGTGGGATCGGAGCCTCTTCCCACTGCTGGATCTGGGTCTGGGTCTGGATCAGGGTCTGGATCTCGGTCTGGATCTGGATCTGGATGAATTCCACTCTGCCGAGCTCTGCCGAGGTTGAATAAGGAATATTTAACAATATTTAACATTCTGTCCCTCTCCTGAAGCTGCAGGGTGAGGAGTTTGGCCAGCTCTGCCTCGGAAAGCTGAGTTTTTGGTGTTCCAATCCTTCAGGAGAGTTCTTTTGGGATATTTCCTGGCGGGTTTCCTTTCCATGGAACACACCCGAGTCCAGCTTGGAGCAGTGGGAATCTCCGAGGCTCTGCCTGGACAGGTCCTGCTGGATCTGGGGTGTTTGGGGTAAATCAGAGCAGAAAAGCTTTGGGAAGGGATCCCTGTGCCATGGAGCCCTTCCAGGAGTGCTCCTGGCCTGGGCTCCCATCCAGGCAGGTGGGATCAGAGCCCCTGTCCCACTGCTGGATCTGGGTCTGGATCAGGATGAATCCCGCTCTGCCGAGGTTGGATACAGAATATTTATTGTTCAAATCCCTCTCCTGAAGCTGCAGGGTGAGGAGTTTGGCCAGCTCTGCCTTGGAAAGCCACGTTTTTGGTCTCCCAATCCTTCAGGAGAGTTCTTTTGGGATATTTCCTGGCGGGTTTCCTTTCCCTGGAACACACAGGAAGGGCTCTGCCTGGACAGGTCCCACCTGCTCTGGCGTGTTTGGGGTAAATCAGAGCAGAAAAGCTTTGGGAGGGGATCCCTGTGCCATGGAGCCCTTCCAGGAGTGCTGGGCATTCCAAGGATTTCTCCACCTCTGGGATTGCTCTCTCCATGGGGACACAGCCCAGGTTCCCACAGGGCCTCGGCCTCCCTCAGGATCTCCAGGGAAACTCTGGGGGACATTTTGGGGGAGAAGCTCCTGCCCTGGGCGGGGCTGGGGTGGCAATGGGGACGCTGGGGACACGGGGACACCTCGGTGTCATCGATGGCCCGGCCCTGGGGTCCATGGGACACCCCGAGACGCTGCCCTCAGAGCCCTCACCTTTTCCAAGGAGCAAAGGAAAAACGGGAATTGTTTCAGAGCTCTGGTGGACGTGGTTTTACACCATCGGTTGAATTATTTGGTTTTCTGTCAGTTTGAGGTGTTGCTCACCCTTTGTCCAAATCATTTGGGGTTGTGGATGATCTTTCAGAGCCAAACCTCTTGTTTTGTACCCCAGCTGCTCCGCTGATGTTGTTTTGGGCCAGATGTTGGTTAAGGTCAGGGTTTCCTCCAAGCCAGAGGTCCCAGCCCTTCCATGCGGAGGGGAATGGATGTGTTTGCTTTTTTGGGGCTTTTCCTTGGTTTCAGGCTCCAAAAGCAGAGGGAATTCGGGTCCCCCCAGGTGTTCTTGGTCCCTGCTGTGACAGCACAGGGACTTTGCTGGGAGGGGAATTTGCTCAGCTGTTCCCCAGTCTGGGGCTGCAATGGGGACACTGCAGCTCTGGGCTTTGGCTGCCTCTTCCACACCTTAGATTGGGAATGGTGGGAATGGTGGGAATGGTGGGAATGGTGGGAATGTTGGGATGAATCCAGGAGTGCTTGGGGCTGGAAGGGACCCTAAAGCCCCACCATGGGCAGGACCACGGGGATGCTGGATGGGAATTTTTTAACCAATCCCATCTGGGCAGCCACAGGGCATCACCACGGGCAGGAAAGGGTTACCAGGGCCGTCATTCCCTGCCTGTTCCAGCGATTCCAGGAAAGCCCTGGAGTTTCCAGGAAGGCTGGGGAGGGATGAGAGGGAAGAGGAGCCGCTGGAGTGCCACCGATGGTGCCCAATCCCTCCTCCCTCCCTGATGAGTAATTAGTGCACCTGGGAGTAATTAGCTGAGGTGGGAGGACACAGAGCTGCTGTTGCTGTGGGAAAAGCTTCCCTGGGCAGGAAAGGAAGGGAAGGGGCTCTGGAGAAAACTGGGAGCCGTCCTGCTGGAGGAGGAAATGGGATTGTGCCCACTCGAGCACCTGGAGTGGAGCTGAGCTCATTCCTGAGCCCTGGAGTGGAGCTGAGCTCATTCCTGAGCCCTGGAGTGGAGCTGAGCTCATTCCTGAGCCCTGGAGCGGAGCTGAGCTCATTCCAGAGCCCTGGAGCAGCTCCGGGGGCTGTAGGGCTGGAGCTGAGCTCATTCCTGAGCCCTGGAGCAGAGCTGAGCTCATCCCATAGCCCTGGAGCGGAGCTGAGCTCATTCCTGAGCCCTGGAGCGGAGCTGAGCTCATTCCTGAGCCCTGAACAGCTCTGGGGCTGTAGGGCTGGAGCTGAGCTCATCCCAGAGCCCTGGAGTGGAGCTGAGCTCATTCCCAGAGCCCTGGAACAGCTCTGGGGGCTGGAGTGGAGCTGAGCTCATTCCTGGGCCCTGGAGCAGCTCTGGGGGCTGTAGGGCTGGAGCTGAGCTCATTCCTGAGCCCTGGAGCAGCTCTGGGGCTGTAGGGCTGGAGCTGAGCTCATTCCTGAGCCCTGGAGCAGCTCCGGGGCTGTAGGGCTGGAGCTGAGCTCATTCCTGGAGCACCTGGAGTGGAGCTGAGCTCATTCCTGAGCCCTGGAGCATCTCTGGGGGCTGTAGGGCTGGAGCTGAGCTCATTCCCGAGCCCTGGAGCAGCTCTGGGGCTGTAGGGCTGGAGCTGAGCTCATTCCAGGGCCCTGGAGTGGAGCTGAGCTCATTCCCGAGCCCTGGAGCAGCTCTGGGGGCTGTAGGGCTGGAGCTGAGCTCATTCCTGAGCCCTGGAGCAGCTCCGGGGCTGTAGGGCTGGAGCTGAGCTCATTCCTGGGGCTGTAGGGCTGGAGCTGAGCTCATTCCTGAGCCCTGGAGCAGCTCCAGGGCTGTAGGGCCCTTCAGCTCCTGGTGATGGTCCCACAGCCAGGACCTGCTGGCACCCCGGGCGTTCCTCTGGCTGCCCTGGGGGGCTCAGACCCGCGCCCGGGGGCTCAGAGAGCTCAGCACAGAGCCCGAGACCCCTGCGCCTTTGAGCTCGACCCATGGAAAAATCACCAGCTCTGTATGAAGATCTGCAAGCCATGAATGTTTTAGAATGACAGTGAATTTATCATGGGGTGAAAAATTGATTTTTGGGGTTTTTAGAATGGGGGTTCAGGGTCACAAGATGGAGGGATATGGGCATGTCCAGCCTTTCTCCTTCTTCTTGGCCTCCATCTCCTGCTGTGATGGTGGCACTTTGGGATTGGTTTAGAGCAGAAGCTCAGTGTCTGACACAGGTGATAGGGATTGGGAAGTGATTGTAAATATTGTACAGGTGGTTTTTAGTATAAAGAGATAACACCAAGGCAGGCAGAGTGCCTGTGTCTGACTTGCTGGACCGATCTCAGCAGGGCAAAGAAAGAATTTTATAGATAAGAAACCACAAAAACCTTGAGACCAAGAAATGAGGAGCCCTGACTCCTCCTTGGTGGGATGAGTCCAGGAGTGGCTGGGGTTGGAAGGGACCTTAAAGCCCCTCCAGGTCCAAGCCCCGCCGCGGTTGGGAAAAGAGATTTTCATTTTTCTGACTCTTTGGGGTCACTGTGACCCCCAGAGATGTTAAAATCTCTTTTCCCAGCCCCAGAGTATTTGAAGAAGGAGTCAGAGCTCTTCATTTCTGGGTCTCAAGGGTGTTCATTGTTCCTTATCCATGTTCATTGTTCCACCATCACAGCAGCAGATGGAGGCCAAGAAGAAGAAGGAGAAGGAGAAAGCACAAGGCACCCCCAGATTCCTCCTCCATCTTGGGACCCCGAGGCCCCATTGTAAAACCCCAAAAATCAATTTTTCACCCCGTGATAAATTCACTATTGTTCTACTTAGACTTTGGTGCCTTGTAAATCCTCATAAAGGGTTGGGAGTTTTTCCCTCCATGGAAAAAAAATTACCAATTTTTGGGGTCATTTTTCTGGCCAGGCCTGGCTTTTCCAGCTCTGTCCCCTGGGAATTTAATTAAACCTCATTAACTAAACCTCGTTAACTAAACCTCGTTAATTAAACCTCGTTTTTCTCCTCCTGGCAGGTGTCGGCACCAGGAATTACTACAGGAAAATTGGCTACGAGCTGGAAGGGCCCTACATGGTGAAATGGCTGGAATGATGATCCTGGAAATGCTCATCCTGGTGAAATGGTTGGAATGATGATCCTGGACATCCTCATCCTGGGAATAACGCTCATCCTGGTGGAATGGTTGGAATGATGATCCTGGACATCCTCATCCTGGTGGAATGGTTGGAATGATGATCCTGGAGATGCTCATCCTGGAGGGACACCACGCTCATCCTGGTGAAATGGCTGGAATGATGATCCTGGACATCCTCATCCTGGTGAGCTGGCTGGAATGATGATCCTGGACATCCTCATCCTGGTGGAATGGTTGGAATGCTGATCCTGGACATCCTCATCCTGGGAATAACACTCATGCCCGGAATAAAGCCCAGGACTTGCTTTAAGCCAAAGCCCACGGCTGCAAGAATCGGAGTTGGACTTGGTGATCCTGGTGGTCCCTCCCAATTCCAGGATTTTTGGAAATAATGCATCATCTCCTCTGGGAAGAGCAGCCCTGGGATCATCCCCTTTTCCCCGGAGAGCCGGGGACATTCCAGGTGTCTCATCACCTGCTGCATCCTCAGGATGATGAAATTCCAGGATTTGGGGTGGCCTGGTGGGAAAAATGCCTTTTTCTTTTGTTTGTTTTTTCAGCTTTTCCTGGTTCTGCATCAAACCCGGGCTTGTTTTCCTGGCCGGGAATAAATTCTGCGTTTATTTTATTTACACCGGGCTCGGCCGCTTCTGTCCATCCTCGGCAATTCCCAAATTTGGGCCTTTCCCAGGAGGAGGAACTGAGGTCAGGACCTGAGTTGTCCCTCTGAGGTGACACGAGCTCCCCAATCCAGGTGGATCCATTTGGGTTGGGATGGGGATCCCGGAGGATCTCCAGGGGTGTCGTCTCATCATCTCATCCCAGCGGGAATTGGGGCTGGTCTGGCACCTTCTGTCCATCCCCAGCAATTCCCAAATTTGGGCCTTTCCCAGGATGAGGAATTGAGGCCAGGACCCAGATTGTCCCTCTGAGGTGGCAGAGCCAGGGAGGAGCTGAGGCCGGGATGGGGATCCCTGAGTGGATCCCATTGGGTTGGGATGGGGATCCCGGAGGATCTCCAGGGGTGCTGTCGCCATCATCTCATCCCAGCGGGAATTGGGGCTGTTCTGGCACCTTCCGGCCATCCCCGGCAATTCCCAAATTTGGGCCTTTCCCAGGATGAGGAACTGAGGTCAGGACCCAAATTGTCCCTCTGAGGTGACACGAGCTCCCCAATCCAGGTGGATCCCGTTGGGTTGGGATGGGGATCCCGGAGGATTTCCAGAGCTGTCACCACCATCTCATCCCAGCAGGAATTGGGGCTGTTCTGGAACCTTCTGTCCATCCCCGGCAATTCCCAAATTTGGGCCTTTCCCAGGAGGTGGAACTGAGGCCAGGACCCAAATGGTCCCTCTGAGGTGGCAGAGCCAGGGAGGAGCCGAGGCCGGGATGGGGATCCCTGAGTGGATCCCGTTGGGTTGGGATGGGGATCCCAGAGGATCTCCAGGGGTGTCGCCACCATCTCATCCCAGTGGGAATTGGGGCTGTTCTGGAACCTTGTGTCCATCCCCAGCAATTCCCAAATTTGGGCCTTTCCCAGGAGGTCGAACTGAGGTCAAATGGTCCCTCTGAGGTGACACGAGCTCCCCAATCCAGGTGGATCCCGTTGGGTTGGGATGGGGATCCCGAGGATCTCCAGAGCTGTCACCACCATCTCATCCCAGCGGGAATTGGGGCTGTTCTGGCACCTTCTGCAATCCCCAGCAATTCCCAAATTTGGGCCTTTCCCAGGAGGAGGAATTGAGATGAGAACCCAAATGGTCCCTCTGAGGTGACACGAGCTCCCCAGTCCAGGTGGATCCCATTTGGTTGGGATGGGGATCCCGGAGGATCTCCAGGGGTGCTGTTGCCACCATCTCATCCCAGCGGGAATTGGGGCTGTTCTGGAACCTTCTGTCCATCCCTGGCAATTCCCAAATTTGGGCCTTTCCCAGGAGGTGGAACTGAGGTCAGAACCCGAATGGTCCCTCTGAGGTGGCAGAGCCAGGGAGGAGCTGAGGCCGGGATGGGGATCCCTGAGTGGATCCCGTTGGGTTGGGGTGGGGATCCCGGAGGATCTCCAAGGGTGGTGCTGCCATCATCTCATCCCAGCGGGAATTGGGGCTGTTCTGGAACCTTGTGTCCATCCCCAGCAATTCCCAAATTTGATCCTTTCCCAGGATGAGGAACTGAGGTCAGAACCCAAATGGTCCCTCTGAGGTGACACGAGCTCCCCAGTCCAGGTGGATCCCGTTGGGTTGGGATGGGGATCCCGGAGGATCTCCAGGGGTGCCGCCATCTCATCTCAGCGGGAATTGGGGCTGTTCTGGCACCTTCTGTCCATCCCCAGCAATTCCCAAATTTGGGCCTTTCCCAGGATGAGGAATTGAGGTCAGAACCCGAATGGTCCCTCTGAGGTGACAGAGCCAGGGAGGAGCCGAGGCCGGGATGGGGATCCCTGAGTGGATCCCGTTGGGTTGGGATGGGGATCCCGGAGGATCTCAAGAGCTGCCACCATCTCATCCCAGTGGGAATTGGGGCTGGTCTGGAACCTTCTGCAATCCCCAGCAATTCCCAAATTTGGGCCTTTCCCAGGAGGAGGAATTGAGGTCAGGACCCAAATTGTCCCTCTGAGGTGACAGAGCCAGGGAGGAGCTGAGGCCGGGGTGGGGATCCCTGAGTGGATTCATTTGGGTTGGGATGGGGATCCCGGAGGATCTCGAGAGCTGCCGCCATCTCATCCCAGCGGGAATTGGGGCTGTTCTGGAACCTTCTGCAATCCCCAGCAATTCCCAAATTTGGGCCTTTCCCAGGAGGTCGAACTGAGGTCAAATGGTCCCTCTGAGGTGACACGAGCTCCCCAGTCCAGGTGGATCCATTTGGGTTGGGATGGGGATCCCGAGGATCTCCAGGGGTGCTGCCGCCACCATCTCATCTCAGCAGGAATTGGGGCTGTTCTGGCACCTTCCGGCCATCCCCAGCAATTCCCAAATTTGGGCCTTTCCCAGGAGGAGGAACTGAGGTCAGAACCCAAATTGTCCCTGTGCTTCCCACATTATACCGTTCTTCTTCCCCTTGGGAACACAAAAAGGGGATGGGATTGAAGGTCCATGGATCCCATCCCAAACCATTCCGGGATTTGGGATCCAGCACACTCAGGATCCACCCCCAGGGATTTTTATGGAATTCGGGGGTGGAAAAGGGAAGGGAGACCCTTCCTGGAGTCCCGAATTTTTGGGAGGGAAAGGAAAGGAAATTTCAAGGAAAGGAAAGGAAAGGAAGGGGAAAGGGAAAGGGAAAGGGAAAGGGAAAGGGAAAGGGAAGGGAAGGGAAGGGAAGGGAAGGAAAGGAAAGGAAAGGAAAGGAAAGGAAAGGAAAGGAAAGGAAAGGAAAGGAAAGGAAAGGAAAGGAAAGGAAAGGAAAGGAAAGGAAAGGGAAATGGGAAAGGGAAATGGGAAAGGAAAATGGAAAATGGGAAAGGAAAATGGAAAAGGAAAATGGAAAATGGGAAAGGGAAATGGGAAAGGAAACTGGGAAAGGAGAATGGGAAAGGAGAATGGGAAAGGAAAATGGGAAAGGAAAATGGGAAAGGAGAATGGGAAAGGAAACTGGGAAAGGGAAATGGGAAAGGGAAATGGGAAAGGGAAATGGAAAATGGGAAAGGGAAATGGGAAAGGAAAATGGAAAAGGAAAATGGAAAATGGGAAAGGGAAATGGGAAAGGAAACTGGGAAAGGAGAATGGGAAAGGAAAATGGGAAAGGAGAATGGGAAAGGAAACTGGGAAAGGAGAATGGGAAAGGGAAATGGGAAAGGAAAATGGTGGGAAAGGAAAATGGTGGGAAAGGAAAATGGGAAAGGAAAGGAAAATGGTGGGAAAGGAAAATGGGAAAGGAAAGGAAAATGGGAAATGGGAAAGGAAAATGGAAAGTGGGAAAGGAAAATGCTGGGAAAGGAAAGTGGGAAATCCTCCCCATGGATTTGTGCCCCACTGCTCCACCCAGAGCCTGCAGCAGGGAAATCCCAAATTCCCAACGGAGCCTCCCCATCCCTGCCCTGTGCCGGGAATGCTGGGGAGCAGCTCCGGCCTCCCCTCCAGAGATCTGAGCCCAGTCAGAGCCCTCCTTCCAGGGAAACCAAACCCATCCAAAATCCACCCAAAATCCATTAGAAATCCACCCCAAATCCGTCCAAAAATCCACCCAAAAATCCATCAAAAATCCATCCAAGAATCCATCAAAAATCCATTAGAAATCCACCCAAAAATCCATCCAAAATCCATCCACAATCCACCCAAAAATCCATCAACAAATCCATCCAAAATCCATCCAAAAATCCATCCAAATCCATCCAAAATCCATCCAAAAATCCATCCAAAATCCATTAAAAATCCACCCCAAATCCATCCAGAATCCATCCAAATCCATCTAAAATTCATCAAAAATCAATCCAAAACCCATCAAAATGCATTAAAAAATCCATCCAAAATCCACCCAAATCCATCCAAAATCCATCAAAAAATCCATCCAAAATACATCCAAGTCCATCTAAAATTCATCAAAAATCAATCCAAAACCCATCCAAAACCCATCAAAATGCGTAAAAAATCCATCCAAAATTCACCCAAAAATCCATCCAAAATCCATCCAAATCCATCCAAAAATTCATTAAAAAATCCATGAATAATCCATCCAAAACCCATCCAAAAAGCCATCAAAAATCCATCCAAAATCCATCCAAAATCCATCTAAAATCCATCCAAAAATCCATCCAAAAACCCATCCAAAAATCCATCCAAAAACCCATCAAAATGCATAAAAAATCCATCCAAAATTCATCCAGAATCCATCCAAAAATCCATTAAAAATCCATTAAAAATCCATCCAAATATCCATCCAAAATCCATCCAAATCCATCTAAAACTCATCAAAAATCAATCCAAAAAACCATCCAAAAGTCCATCCAAAAATCCATCAAAATGCATAAAAAATCCATCCAAAACCCACCCCAAATCCATCCAAAAATCCATCCAAAATCCCCCCAAAATCCATCCAAAAATTCATTTAAAAATCCATGAATAATTCATCAAAAATTCAACCCATTTCCATCAAAAATCCATCAAAAATCCACCTCAAATCCATCCAAAATCCACCCAAAAATCCACCCCAAATCCATCTAAAATTCATTAAAAAATCCATTAATAATCCATCAAAAATTAAACCCATTTCCATCCAAAATCCATCCATCTAAAATTCATCAAAAATCCATCCAAAACCCATCCAAAATCCATCCAAAACCCATCAAAATGTGTAAAAAATCCATCCCAAATCCATCCCAAATCCATCCCGAATCCATCCAGAATCCATCCAAAAATCCATCAAAAATCCATTAAAAATCCATTAAAAATCCATCCAAAATCCACCCAAAATTCCATTAAAAATCCATCCAAAAATCCATCCAAAATCCATCCAAAATTCCATCCAAAATCCATCCAAAAATCCACTCCAAATCCATCAAAAAATCCATCCAAAATCTCTCAAAAAATCCATCCAAAATCCATCCAAATCCATCAAAAATTCATTAAAAAATCCATGAAAAATCTATCAAAAATCCAACCCATTTCCACCTCAAATCCATCCAAAATCCATCCAAAAT